AAAATATAAAATAAGTGATTGCCAAATAGCGTGATAAATATACATAAAGAAAACAAAGTTAAGAAAAAAATGACAAGGACACACAACATGGTCTGCAGAAATCAGGGCATTTCCCAGAGTATGAAAGATGAGTAGGAGTTAGCTAGGAAAAGGGGAAGGAAGGGCATTCTAAACAGAGAGAACAATATGATGTGCAAAGGCACTGGGGCTACTGATATCAAATGCAATTTTTAAAAAATATATATCTTTATTGATTTCAGAGAGAGGAAAGGAGAGGGAGAGGGAGAAATAGAAACATCAATGATGAGAGAGTCATTGATCGGGTGCCTCCTGCATGCCTCCGACTGGGGATCGAGCCCACAACCCGGGCATGTGCCCCGAATGGAAATTGAACCCTGATCGCCTGGATCCCAGGTTGACGCTCAACTGCTGAGCCACACCTGGCCGGACCAAATGCAATTTTTTAAAGAATGTTAATCCCTTCCTATCAATGACACACCCAAATATCTACCTTTCTAAAATGTTTTTCATCTATAAATGATATTTTTCCTTCTCGTACAGACCCCAGTTGAATATTATTCAGTCTCAATATTCCATTTCTCATTGCTGATGATATGTCTACTTTACTCAGTAAAAATACTTCAAAGCATTTTTATATATTAATAACCTCCTAGGCAGGACATTTCCATCCCTTTGCCTCATATTAAAATTTGCAGCAGAGGGTAAAAGAAATTCATTCAGAATCACAAAGAGGAATGCTAGTGTCACCAAACCACAGCCTTTAAGTCCTACAAAGAGCTGACTCTTCAAAGATTAATACAATACACTCCCACTGCTCATCCAAACTGTCATCCAATTTTTTTTAATTCTCTCTCTTCCTGTGCCTCAGATGAGTATGATTTAATCTCCAAAGCATGCACGATGAACACATTACTATTTCCTCCTCCAAGAATGGGATGCTACAATGTGAGGCCCCATTCCTGAGCTGGAGAGAGAGGAAGAGGTCATGTGTTCAGTCTCCATACAGGCACTCACTAGTTTCATTTTACACAGAGAACATCTCTGTTTCACAGCCATGGAGAACACTGCTTATCTTGGCAACCTTCTCACAAATGGAAAACACTGGACACAGATAAGTCCGGCGCACTGTGGATGACTCAATGCAAATTCAATCAGCAATAATCACCACCACTTAGTACTATCCAATGGTGAACCAAATGAATCACCTTGAACCAGAGATGGTAATATTTTGGTTGGTGTTACAATTTAGAGAAACAACATATTACCCTGAAATTATGATTACATGATTACATAACTATTATGAAAATGATTCATCAATCAATTATCAGGTATTTATCTCACTCTGTGTCCAGTAGTATGTCAGTGCTTTAGGGCTTATAAGTGAAGTACAATTAAACTAATGGACATAACCCTGGCTGGGTGGCTCAGTAGTCTGAGTCCCTGAATTAGCATATGGAAAAAAGCTGCACTCTCATCAGGAACATCTAAATTGGACTATTATGTGATTGAGAAATAAAAAACATTTATTGTTTGAAGCACATACTTTTTTGTTGTGTTTGTTACATTAGTGCTACTCTTACTAATATAGGTTTTATTACTTTAAAGGACACAGGGAATAATAGACAAAGTCCAGGACTGGCTCAATAGAGAGAATCTACAGGGAATGCCCGCTGCATAAAACTGGAACCCCAAAATGTTATTCCCTCAACATTAAGGTGAACTGGGAACAAGGAAAGTTGCTTGTCTTGAAATATGGTACTGAATAGGGATAGGGAGGGGGGAGTCATTTCCCCTTGGAATTAATTACAACAAGCATACCCATCCATAGGTTTCCAGCCTATATCCACAGTGAGTGGTCTGGAAAACCACAAGCTAAGAATTTACTTTAAAGTGAATACCAGTTGGTAGTGCTCCCAGAAGTAATTACAAATTCTCTCTGGAGAAAACTTCCTTCATTCCAAGAAAGGTGAACCCATAGTCAAAAATCATAAAACTCATAAAGAAACAATACACCATGTGCAAGAGCCAACACAAAGAAGAGATAGTAGAATAAGACTCATAGCTATTAGAATTTCCAGTGCAGAATAGAAAACCATTATATTTAATATTGTTGAGAAATACTCCTCCAGGAGTCTTTCTGTTCTTGCATGTCTTGCTTTGTATGCAAAAAAAATCAAGGCCTGCTGATCTTTACCCAGACCATTTTTCAGGCCTGTGTTTGCAGCAAGTAACCTTAAAGGATAAGGTAATGTCTCCCACTAGGAGAAGGCATAGCCTTGCTTACTGTCTACTATAAACTGGCAAGTTTCCCAAGATCAGTGATCCTCTCCTGTGCAGGCAGCTATCTGTGTCACTCCTGTGGGAATTGGTACATAGGGGACCAAAACAAACATGTTGACAGCCTGGCTACTGCTTCTTTTGTGACTAATAAAGTCTTTTGTCTCTGATACAAGAGTCTCATGTCTTCTTTCAAAATCCACACAACTGCCTGCCATTTGACCCAGTGATCCCACTTCTGGGAATATATCCTAAGGAACCACAAACACCAATCGCAAAGAACTTATGCACCCCTATGTTCATAGCAGCGCAATTCACAATAGCTAAGATTTGGAAACAGCCCAAGTGCCCATCAGTAAATGGGTGGATAAAAAAGCTGTGGCACATTTATACCATGGAGTATTATGCGGCTGTGAAGAGGAAGGACCTTTTGGCCTTTGGCACAGCATGGAGGGAACTAGAGACTATTATGCTAAGTGAAATAAGCCTGTCAGAGAAGGACAAGTACCAAATGATCTCACTTATATGTGGAATATAATAAACAGAATAAACTGATGAACAAAGTGCATCCAGTAACATAGAAGCTTGGAACAAACTGAGGGATCTCAGAGGGAAGGCGGGGAGGGGGGTGTGGGTGGAGAGAGATTAATCAGGGAACTTGTATGTTTATGGGCATGGCCCATAGACGGGGACATTGGTGTGGGGAGAGCCTGGGGGTAGAATGGATGTGGGGTAGAGGGGATCAGTGGGGTTGAAAGGGGGACATCTGTAATGGTCTCAACAATAAAGATAAAGAAACATAAAAGAGAGAGAGAGAGAGAGAGAGAGAGAGAGAGAGAGA